TATATATATAAAGGACGTAAAATCCTTTATGACATCATATCGTATCGTAATACAGTACTCTCTGTATTTTTATTGTCAATATCCAATCGGTAAGAAATTATCTATATGGTATCGTTTTATTTTGCTAAATAAATAGAGAATAAAAATAATAAAACTGATTCACAAATATAATGTGTCTATAAATAAATAAATCTTTCATACCCAATATTTTAGGTTTAGGTGGCGTGCTCGTAATAGATGGGGAACATGCGATATTATATATCACACTAGAAAATTATCCAGAATGGTTTATCCCGAACATGGATGTTAACAAATGGTTAAAATTATATCGATTGAACTGCATGGATGTAATAGGTGTGGTTGCATTAACCAACTTTCCATTTTTCAGAGGACACAAATCTGACGGAAGTGTAAGTTACTTCTTAAGTGCACAAGCAGGCATTATTATATACATATTTTTTATTTCTTTGTAATAAATTTGTATTTATACGCATTTTGTTACATATATGTTATGTGTTAAGTGAATTAATATATTATAATATATTTCAAAATTTTATGCTTGTTAACTCGACCATTGTAATATTATTGGTAATTACTTTATTTACAACGCCGATATATCACAAAACATTCATAAGCTTTATATTTGCAGCCGTTGCTAGGAACCCGTTACAGGTTTAACACTTTCTCTAATTATGAAGCGGCCGGAGGGTTTCGCGTGGATGTCACACCGATAGAGACAGAGTACATTTTTTACTTTAATATAGCGCAAAGAATATATTTCTAAATGTGACAAATATTTTCATTCTTGATATAAAATCAATCCTTCTTATTAAAACGCTAAGTGAGAAATTCACATGAGATATGTTTTCATAAAGTATTCGTGACTAAGATATATCTCGTATAAAGATCTAGGTTTGCAAAAAATAATATCTTCTATTTTAGAATGCAACAAATCGTAACACTTATTAATATTTTGATATACTGACCAAATAACGTAGTTCAAATAGTCTACGTTTCTGTTTTGATTCACGACAAAGAAAAATATCATAAAAATAAAAAGTAAATCGAAAATTGAAAAGTTCAATGATATCTTTCTATAAACTCTTCCTCTTACTTTTTCTGCAAGTGAAACGATTTGTTCGACTTTTTTTACAACAATTAACATAAAAATTACATACACACAAAGTATTTATTTGTAGATAAATACGACTGTCCGAATTAAATAGCATAAACAAATATAGAACTGTATCTACTTTTAATTTCGTGAAACTATTGTAATCCGTCGACATTATTTAAGTTTCATATTTCCAATTCAAAAAAATGCACACACACAAATATTTTCAATTTTGTAAATTTATCACATTTTTATTATAATTTACATTTTTGCCAATTTGTAAATTTAAGATGTATTTATAACCTAAAAAAATTATATTAACCCGTAATTCATGATCAATACAGTCTTGTACTTGCTTATGCTGTCATTTTTTTTTTACGTTTATTTTGGAGGAAACTATTTATAATCTGCCAGAATATTTTATGTGATTAATAATATTCGCATATACGTATATGGATTGAAAAGAAAAATAATATCTTCGATAAATTTTAATCGAAATATGACTACTATAATTATATATATATATATATAT